ATGGTCGCAGCGTTGCTCGCCAAAGGCCAAGATCGAGTTGTCCAGCAAAGTGCAGCCTGGAGCCCAGTCGAAGATTGACGCCGCCAGGAAGAGAAAGGCCAATTCAGGGATAATTTGCCAGAAGTGCTTCTCTGTGTGGGCCTGCTCGTCTGTTCAAGGAACCTTACTTTCGGCAGTCTTGACTTTGCTGGGGGCGGTTTAGGGTTTAGGGTTATTATAATCCCCTAATACAGTCTGAGCATAATGCAGAGGTCAAAGGTTTTCCCCAGAAACCCACAAGAAACTAGGCAAGCAGGCAGAAAAGCAACGGGATGAAGAACTCCCTTCCCTCGGCAGGGCTTCCAAGACCAAGACTCCTGCTCGGTCTGTGGATACGGAGCCAGGATGACGTAACCAGGTCGCCACATCAACGGGGGGATGAATCGGCTGTACATATGAAGAGGCAGCACACGAGGCGATGAAAGCCTCAGCCGTTTCCCTGGCAACCCCACAGCAGCCTGACAACCCTGGAAACACTCCAAGGACGGATGTGAACCTTCCCTTCATCACTGCCGATCAGTCCGGCCCGAAGCACCTGAACATCCAGGTCTCTCGGTGGGAGCCCGAGCGAGAACCGCCAGCGAGTTCGGGCTTCTGGGTTTTTTTCGACCGACCTCCGCGCTGACTTAGTACCCCTTTGAAAGGCGCCCCGGGTGCTGTCATGTCCCCCAAAAGTTCCAGAAGCTCTCTAGCCAAAGCTGACCCCATGGTAGACAAGAGAAGCTCCTGCAAAATCAGCTTCACCGAACTCCTTCAATACCCCTTAAATAAGGAATATACCTTAAATTATAGGGGCCTTCATATTGTTGTTTAAGATATATATTCCTTAATTCAGGGGTATTGGGCTCTCTGGGGTGTTGGACAAGAAGCTTAGAGGTTTTGCTGTGGGGCAGCGCACGGGCCCACTGTCAAGAGTGACGGTGATGCGGATGTCGCCGCCCATGTTGCAAAGGGGCGCTTCCTGCAGCGGAGTGACTTGATTCGCTATTTCATATTCTTGTTCTTGCTCTGCTGCGACGAAGATTACGATTGCAATGGACTTGACGAGTAACTGCACACTACTGCTCATCAAACGAGCAATCACTTTACACCCATACCATACAGTTCATACTGCCTATACGACCAACTTGCCAATGTTGCATGCATTCTTCTGCTTGTTTTGGCATGCCAGTAAATGTCGCTCGAGGATCTTAGCCTGATGCTTCTTACTCTTGCTTTTCTTGCTGTTTGCCTCTGTATTATTCGTCATGCTACGACAAGAGTGCATGTCATGAGCATGTTTTGAAGGTTCTCACAAGAATGAGGGCCCGAATGAAACACCAAACGCAGAATGACAGAATGATCATGATTACGAGGGTGCCTCCCCGCCAAAGAACAGAACGGACCCTCACATTCAGAAGCTTCCGCCAACCCTAGCTACCCTGAGCTCTAAACCCGTGCCTACCTTGACAGCCGAAGCCTTAAAATAAGCCCCTAAATCCAAAAGCCGAAACCCGAGAGGGGAAGAAACCCACACCAAACCCTAAACCCACCCGCAAACCACTAAACCCCAAACTCCGAAACCAAAAAACTCTAAATCCGAAACCCTAAACCCGAAAACCCTAAACCCGAAACCCTCCTAAACCCAAAAAGCGAAACGAAACACCCAGCAATGCGACGCTGGCGAAGGTCCAAGCTCGAACAGCTCGTCGACCCTCTTCTGACCCGGACGAAAGCCCCCTGCGAGGCCTGTAACAAGGCGCCCCTGTTGCTTTTTAGGGTTTTTTGGGGGTTTTGGGGTTTTGGGTTGTGGGGTTTTGGGGGGTTTAGGGTTTAGCCAGTAGTGCTGCAGCTTGGCGCGATTCTGTTGCTNNCCCGGCCGACGTCCCAAGCCCGGATGAGAAAAAAAAAGGTTTAGGGGCTGCTTTTGGCCGGTGGTTTGGAATTGAGAGTGTAGGGTGAGGTTCGTAAGAATCCCACTGGCAATCGTAGCAGAAAGATTTAGTAGCAATCGCAGTTTGCCATCTTCGTCATCGTCACAACAAGAGCGTTAGAGGCTGCTGATTGATGCCTAAGACTCCAGGTGTTGCTCAGGCCCAAGGGATCTTAAGCTTAAATCCCGAAATCAGCGCAGCTTCAGACTTAAGAGCGTAGAGATACCTTGAGAGCCCCGAAGCGCAGTCCGAGGGTCATCTAAGCCCTAGGCCTTATCTGCACCCTCTCAGGATTGCGGTAAGTTCGTTCCTCACAGGAACCTTATGACCGCCTTGTAGCACCTTTAGTTCAACCCCTCCTAACCTCTACATTAACCCTACATCAAGCCCTTGCACACCCCCTGACGAAACCCCTTAAGAAAAAACACCATAATCATATATAAAGCAGCAAAAATCCTTTTAGACCACCACCTTTCTCAGAAACGAGGCCCCGATGACCCCGATGAGTCCCCCCCCCCCCCC